AATGGCTCGTAAGCCTCACTTGTGAGGTGTTGAAGTACCACATTTAGATCCCAGGCTGGCGCTTGAAACTTCCGTTTCTGGTCTTCCAATCGAAAGGCACGTAACAAGGCGAAAGTAACTCCGTGTTTTTGGTCAATTTGACGCCCGTTCTCATTGTTATGACTGAACTTATGGCTGCAAGATAAGTGGACAGTGTAGATCCTTTTAGATTCTTAGTTTGACGTAGGAAACATAAGAAATCTGCCACTTGAGGATGTGTAGCAAATCTGGCTGAAAATCCTTTCTTAGCAGCATAATTGACAAATCTGAGCCATTTGTCATCGTATAAGTTACGAGTAGAGTTACGTAGTGCAAGCGTGACCGCCTTCGCCGCTCTGGTGGAATAACCTCTCTTATTCAAACATGCCTTGATACAATCCACACGTGAAGTCGGAATGCTTCTGGTGTTTTGTGCACTTGTTTGGTGTGCGGATGTATCAGTAGATTGGAGCGTAGTGGGAGCTGAAGTACTGGTTTTCCGATTCCTAGTATGAGGTCTGGAAACCACGTTCTCGCTGGCCAGTAAGGCGAGACCAAAATCAGATCGAGGCTCTTCGTTTGACTGATTTTTAGCAAGACTTGTGGGATTAACGCAGGAGGCGGGAAAGCATACGCGTTTAGTCCCTCCCATGATATGCTTAGTGCGTCCGTTGCCCAAGCTAACGGATCTGGCACTGGCGATACGAAGGTTGTCAGTTGATTGTTGAATTGGGTGGCAAATAGGTCTATCAGAGGAGATCCTATTTCCATGATTATCTGATTGAATATCTCTGTGTGGAGCATCCATTCTGTCGGCGACGGTTGGTGCGGCCGAGAGAGAGAGCGCCTGCTAACACATTCTTTGCTCCTGGAATGTGGCAGGCTTTGATGCGTATGTTTAGACTGTCAACTAAATCAACAGTTTGAAACATCGAGTGAGAAGATTCAGTGATCTTGTTGACCCTTGTTTGTTCACATAAAACGCCACTGTTGAGTTGTCTGTGTGAATCATTAACTGAGCCGCTCTGTAATAGGTTGCTCCAGTGACCTATGGCGCTTATGACTGCTTGCATCTCTAGCAGATTTATGTGACATAAGCTCTCTTGAATGCTCCATAGGCCTGACGCTGTCCTGCCGGTAAGGTGGGCTCCCCAACCTTTTAGTGACGCTAGCCCACGAGAGATGTGTTTTCGATTCCGGCTCTACTAAGGAGACACCTGTGCAAACATTCAATCTCTTGGTCCACCAGAGTAGATGTGGTTTGATGTAATCTGGTAGACTGAACGGTAGAGGGTCCTCGAGATGGGCATTGATGAGGACTTGTAATGGACGTAATTGAAGCCTGCCTCTGAGTGTCAAGTCTTGAGCTGATGTGAGTAGTCCCAGTAGACTCTGCCACTGACGTAGTGGTAACGGAGAGAGTAGGGCTTGGGGGATCAGTTGTTGTATCTTGATCCATCTGTCCTCCGGGACTACCATACGATTCTCTGCGCTGTAAGGAATCGTATACCTAGAAACTGCAGATCCTGCATGGGCTCTAGGTCCGACTTGAGTAGATTTACTAACCAGCCTAACTGCGTTAGTAGCTTGATTGTAAAGTTCAGCTGTAGTCTGAGACGCTGTGGATCTAGATCCACCTGTATACCGTCGTCTAGGTAAAATGCATTCCGCAGGCCTTGACGATGTAGGTATGAGACAATAGGCTTGGTTACTCTTGTGAATATCCATGGGGCCGAAGTGATTCCGAAGGGAAGTACTTTCCATTGGTAGTGTATGCCGTCTAGCATAAATCTCAGATATTTCCTTGAACTGGGATGAATCGAATGTGTAGGTATGCGGCCCTGCAGATCTATACTTACCATGTAATCTAGTGGACGAATTAGATGACGGAGTTGAGGTAAATGTATCATGCGAAACGCTGGTGGTTTGCATAGAAATTCTCTGTTGAATGTGCTCATGTTGTAAATGAGACGATACTTCTCTTTGGAATTCTTTTTCGGCACTAGGAAAACTGGGGAGTAGAAACCTGGTATGATGTTTTGCTGATCGAGAACTTCTAAGGCCTGTTTGTTTAGTAGAGACTGAACTGTTTCTCTTAACATCGGAAGTTGTGCCAGATGAACGCTTGAACCCTGGTGGGTTGACTGTTAACGGTGGTTTGGCCTTGAGTTGTAGACGATATCCGCATTCTGAAGGATGTTGGATACATACGGATCTTGAAGTATTCCCCAGTTTTCCCAGTGTAGTTGTAGACGCCCACCCACTTGAGAAGGTTGTACTGGGACGACTGGGGTGGAAGACTCCAGTCGCTCCAACCTGACTTTCATCGCTTAAATCCATCGGCACCTCTGGATGATCTGCCTCTAGCTGATCCTCCTCTGAACTTGTTGTACGGGCTTACGAAAGGAATCCTTGGGATTATTAACGGCCGCTAATTTCTTATCCCGTGCTCTCTGTAGCCCTGAAAACTTGGACTTGCCCGAGTACCTCTGTGCTGATTGTTTAAAGACCTGGCGCTAATGTATCCATAGATTTAATCATGAGTACTTCTCTAGAATCTTTGATACTTCCTTGGAGACCTTGTTAATGTTGCCACCAAACAGTAAGGGTGAAGACCATGGAGCTGTGTATAGGGGCTCTGTGAATTGTTTATTCCAAGAGCAGGAGGCTAGTAATCCTTGCCGACGGTCATGGTAGTAGTTTCAGTAAGTGCTGAAAGATGGTCTGTAAGGAATTGTTGATCTTTTTTCTGCATAAGTAGAGCTGAATAGATCATCCTGTCTTCCTCATCCGTGGAGTTCTTGAACTTGGTGATGAGAGTTTCGTTAACAGTCCTAGATCTGTTGAGTCCAAAGAACATCCTTCTGGAAATGGTATCTAACTGGGCCATCTTGCGATCGCTCACCCTATAACTTCTGGACTTGGAATCACTGATAAGTTTAAAGTTTTCATCAATCTCCTGAGTCTTGAAAAAGGGCTCCATATTATGTCCATAAAAACTCTTGGCATTGAAGAATGGTAAATGGGTAAGTTGAGTTTTAGCAGATTTGGAGTAGGCTGTATCCAGTTTAGCAGGAACGGCTGCGATAGGATCCATAGGAGGCACGGTGATATGATCTACATCATCATCTAACATCAGGTAAGTTTGGGCTGTATCCTCGTTCTTAGAGGGAGAGGCCAGTTGTAATTCGTTTACCATCCAATACCTTATCTCAGCCTCTGAGAAAATGATACCATCGTCCTCCTCTGACGTATGGTCGTATGTCGGAGTCCTCGATCTGTAAGAAGATCTATGTGAGGACTGAGGAGAACGGACTGACGAGTGGCTAGTGTATGTAGACCTTGGAGAAGACATCCTTCGCGGAGATTGTGGGCTTCGTGAACGGTGATGGCTTCGCAGACGCTCTGGACTTCTCGAACGTTGAGGGCTACGCGATCGTCTTCTAGGCGATGTAGAACCACTTAGCCTTCGGCCCCACGCCAATGTCTGGAGTCAGTGTCCGATCCGACATATGAGCTTGCTTTCACGGACGCCCTTCGCGTGCATGACAAGGTGCGTGCTCGGCGAAAGCCTTCTCCTCACAAAGCCTCTTGCAAAAGGTGAGGCTCTGGCTCTTTCACGGAGGCGCCTGGGATACCTTATGCAAAGAGCTCACCCGGCAGGGTTGCCCTTCGCGGAGGCGCCTATGGGCTCAGAGGCCCTACGCTGGCCAAGGCGGGCTCTGAGGCCCTGTATGACTTAATATGGGGTGGGCTCTGAGGCCCGTGGCTCTGAGGCCTCTGTAAGCCGTAGCAGTCTTCCATCACCCTCATTATGTGGTTGATCAAGTCGCCTGAAGCGGTTCATGCTGATGAGGGATGTCTCTCTGCAGAGGTGGGACCCTCAGATAAAATTTCTGGAGATAGAGTCGGCATCTCCGGGTTGTGTGTTCATCTGCTTGAGGTGACAGTCGCAGAAACGGGCCGCTTTCTTGTGACGAACTTCTGAATGATAATTGGCAAATCATCATCATATAATGCTAATTCTGTAACTGGTAAGATATCAGAGGCAAAATTATTAGATTTTGTTGACTTCCCTTTAGATGAAGGTGTAGATCTTGGTGTACGAGTGTAATGATGATATGGATGGTTTCCTCGACTTGGACTGAGAAGACGGCAGCTCTTGAGATGCAGGTCGCTTGGACATAGCGGATCAAGCGCCCCACGCTTATCCGCCGAGGGAAACTCAGGCATGCCACCAGCCGGTGGCGTGTCCTCAGTCAACAGTTGACATGAAACATTAATTTGCGATCTATTAGCCATGTTTGAATTCTGTTTACGGGATTTATCTGCCTTCCGTCTATAAACGGAACATAAATATTTGTCAAAGGCAGAGATAGGTAAATTGATACAAAATTTACAACGAGAATCAAAGGAACATGGAGTAATGCAACTAGGGCATTTTAAATGTGGATCGGTATCAGAATAACGTAGTTTACATTCTGTGCAATTTTTCATTAATGTAGCCTACTGAACAAACACGACGAACCGTGAATAAAACAGCAGAAACACAATTAATAATCAATGCAAATTGAATAATTATACTAGTACTACCTCTATACTAACGTATAAGAGGAACTAACTAAATATAATTAAAGGATATAGTGTGTTGGGAGACACAGGCGCTCTCACGTCCAGCTCACTGGGCTTAAGAAGGAGAGACTGGGCTAAGAAGGAGAGAGTGAGGCACATGGGCTTTATTGGCTTCTCGCTTCCCGCTTACAGAAGGGAGGTAACTCGTGGTGAGTACTAATGAGTGATTCTTTATTGAAGGGAACTTCAATTGGGAGATACAAGTGTTCCACTAGGTTCGCCAGAAGAAGAAGACAAGCAAATAAGCATGAGTCAGGATAAGAAAAATATAGGAACAAAATTAGAAATATGCCATTAAAATGAACCAAGAAGAGCAATCTTCAGCTCTATGACCAGTAACAACAGATTACCTGGAGCAGGGTTGGTGGACCAGGAACAGATCTTCTCATGACTGGCACAGATGGACTTCTTGAGCTTCTCACAGGCTTCCTTGTCTGAAATACAGGCATCAGGACATGATTGTTTAGGGGTGGTCAACTCACATGAAAAGGAATTCAGACCTTTGTGTCAAAAGTGAGAGAAATTAACATACAGCAGTTACATGTATCTATTAGAAACTCAAATCAGGTCTACTGATGATGCAATTCTTACCATATTGGATGTGGGGTGTTGTTGTGATGATGATTTTAAGGGGGGGTCACCCATTTTGTTCTGGGGAGCTAGGGGGAGCTAAGGTCCATGTTCACTCAACAGTCAAATGTAAGGTGTCAAGATCAGGTGTTTCAACCAGTCTGATTACATACACACTAAACTGCGGTAAGAGTAGAGGTAAATGTGGGACAAATATGAGAAAAATAATTTCATAAAGATTAGGAGACTATCATCCATGTGATTATATTTCTTCCTTTTAAAGGTTCAGCTAAATGTTTCATTCATGGCCTTGTCTGTTTGCTTGTTTACAAACTTTGAAGATGACCATTCTACAAGAGGTGTAAAAGGTTTGCTTGTTCTTGATAAACTGTGAAGTTGTCAGAAACCGCTTTTGTGTTCTTAATATTGATTTAGAAAAGATTAATGCATTAAATCATCAGCTGAAGGAAAGCCAAGATACGGCTCATTTTGGTTGATGTTAAAATATCTTGAAATGTTTATGGTTTGTTGTCACCTATAACTACAATACTCACATGCTACCTGATCTGTATTCGCAGGTAGTTTCCCACACAGGAAGGACTTGCAGCTGACACATCGCAGCATGTCCACGTCCGTGTTCTCCCAGCCATACTGCGCACATACCAAGGGAGACAACTCTCCTGGTTTAGCAAACCAGGTCAGAGGCTAATTATAGGTTAAGGTCAAAACATGTATGATAAGCTATTCTACATGTGCATGTGGTGTGTTTTGTAGTTTCAAGAGAAAAAACACAGCTTTCCAAATTACATGATGAACCCATCAAAAACTGAAACCTTTACAAGACTGATGACAATATCCATAATGGTAAATGTTGGAGTATATTCATATTACAAGATAAATAAGAAACAGATCATCCTTGTAACATAAGTCAGTTTAATTTCCAGCAAATAGTCAGCATCATGCCCTTCCAATTGTTTGCATGATGGCCAAGAGCCTGAATCATGGACCGACCGAGTTTGGTTTTACGCCGCTTTTAGCAATATTCCAGCAACATCACGGTGGGGGACACCAGAAATGGGCTTCACACATTGTGCCCATGTGGGGATTCGAACCCGGGTCTTCGGCGTGACGAGCCAACGCTTTAACCATTAGGCCACCCCACCGCCCCTCCTGAATCATGGAATATAGTGTCTGTCTGTCATGAAATACATTTTAGGACCAGACCTATATTTACTAATAAGTTGGATAAGTGAATGGGTATGGTTTTACACAGTTTTTAGCAATATTCCAGCAATATCAGAAAGGGCTTCACACATTGTACCTATGTGGGGAATCGAACCCTGGTTTTCAGCGTGACAAGCGAACACTTTAACCACTAGGCAACATCACAGCCCCATATATTGGATATCCATTCATTCTTATCAAGATAGTAATAAACAGGTGCATGCATTGGGGGCTTGCATTTGCTTTCTCTGTAAGACCACACTCGGCAATTATGACACCTATATGGTGACAGCCTGTAAATTTCAAAGAAACCAACGTACAAAACTCCAAGAAGCAAAACATCTTGAAACTAATCAGACCATGACAGACATGTCGCCATGACACTCAAATCATCCACTGTGTCAGTAAGCTTTTGTTTCAGCTATCTCTTTAATTAGAAATAGAATGCAGTTCTGTTTTGGGACACTTGTAAACATTGTGCCCAACAGTACAGGAAATGCTGATAACATATTCACACACTGCAACCAGCCTCAACCGGCATGTTCATCATGTTCATTCAACATTAATCAGCACGAATCGACCTGATTGGCAGAGATGCAACAGCCATCCACTGAAATTGTTTCTTTCCATATAGAAACTAATTGATATTTTAGTGTTTATTTAAGATTAATTTAAAACAGATAAAAATAAAGTTCTATGGAAAAAAATTTAAATCAGGAAACTTCTACAAAAAAGATCACTTTCTATTACATGTACAAAAGATACCGAAAATGTGGCAACTCTGGTAAAGAAGGCATCCCTGCTTCGCAAGTTAGGACAACTATCCTGCTTCTTCTCTGTCGTCGTATTCTCCTTGTCCTGAGATTTTGCATCAGTTGCAGTGGTTGTACTTTCTGACTCAGTTCTAAAAGACAAAAAGCAAAACTACAATAAAAGAAAAAAAATGTCCTTTATGAGTTTGATCAAAGAACATCATATGTATCATGCTAATGTTCATAAAACAATAATTGAAATAGGGTAGTTTATTCAAAAGGGAACCAATTAACTTGTCAGGAAATATAAAATCACAACACATGAATGTGAGCAAATAATGTGTTATCAAAAGTCCAACAACACAATTTTCCACATATAGTGCTGTATATGGTTATTCTCTGATCTTGTCAAGCAATGGATTGAATTGGGGGGAATATTGGTTTTCATCCTTTGGCAGGTGACCAGTATTGGGATGTTGAACATTAGTTGAACAAGAATCGAGGTGGCACATATTAGGAGCTGGTTAGCTAATTCATTAGCATAGTCTAGCTTCAAGACCACCTGCGGCCAAAACTGGAATCAGAAAGAGCACTTCAAGATTCGCTACCTTCTTGTTCTGTTCAACCTGCAAAGCACAGGCAGGAATGTGGCAGACGTTGATGTGAATTTTGATTACTATTGTGAGACAATTTAAGACAACCTGCTAAATTACACTTAACAGGAATGACATAAATTCACTTATCACGTACTCCTTGTCGTTTCCATTCTTCGTTCCATCGCTCAAAAACGATGAAAGAATTTTTCGAACCCGCTCCGGAGTTACAGGACATGTATTGGCAGCCATGATGTTTTTCACAGGAAGCGAATTAATTGACTTCCTTTGCAGCTATGAGGTATTTTCATTGGGTCAGTGAAATGAGAGTATCCAATGAAACGTTTGATACCGTATGGTATTGGCATGAGAAATATGGCGCTGTCCATGGATGTTTACAGATTTACCCATGTAGAACCATCAGTTGGAGATGGACAACGTATGTACTGTGACATTTTCTGTCAAAATATGTAACAAAGCCCCGTCAACACCCTTTAGGTTGAATACCTTGTCAATCACACACAACTTTACGGTCCTAAGGGTTAGGCACGCGATCATTAGTTCAGCTGTGAAGTATAGTTTTGGTTAGCTTAAAAATTCTATTCTAACGAATTATCGTATATGACCGTAGATTAGCCAATCTCATGTATAAAGCCGAGGTCCTAACTTGACCCTTAAATCAGCATCAAAATGGCATGTCTATTACATAAACCGAACCAATCTTTGTACATCTTCTGTCATCGGAATAGAGACATTAGAGTATTGAATTAGCAAGTTCATCGTGCTTTTACACTATGTCATTATGAAATATGTTCTTTGCATATCTGGACTTATGTTTAAAATCTACTTTATCAATTTTACTCAAAATGTAAAAGTTCACCTGGTAAAATGCACTCTCTTGGCATTGTTTAGGGTGATGTCTGTCTTCTCAGTCTTCCTTCATTTGATCATCTTAAAAAAGCAGATACACCCACTGAATAATTAGTTCAAATTCTTGTCTCTTCTGTATCGATGTCATCTCCTCTGACATATTGAAAAAAGAGTTGTCATGATAATGGTTCTAAACAGGAAGAGAGGTTGTGGGGTAGCCTAGTGGTTAAAGCGTTCACTCGTCATGCCGAAGACATGGGTTCAATTTCCCACTTAGGTACAATGTGTCAAGTCCGTTACTGGTGTCCCCTGCTGTGATATTGCTAGGATATTGCTAAAAGCGATGTAAGATGAACTCACCCACACACTCTAAACAGGGAGAATGGAAAATTGAATTTGGATAAATTGAGCATGTTGGATCTCACATTCTTTGATGTTGGGTGTTGAAAAGTCCATCTGAGGACTGTCTCTTTTCTGCCAGGTCCAGAAGTCTAGCTCTATATATCATATTTATCAGTAAAAGGTAAAAGTAAAATAAACATCTGTCATGATTGATTGTTTGTTTGTTTGTTTGTTTGTTGTTTAATGCTGCACTCAGCAATATTCAAGGTATATGTCGGCAGTCTATAAATAATTCAGTCTGGACCAGACAATCCAGTGATCAACATCATGAGCATCGATCTAAGCAATTTGGATACAGTGTCTTTACTTTATTCCAGGTGGCGAGGGTGACATCACTGATCCAAATCTACCGGTAGCAAGGAGCGGACATCGTATCGTGGTGACGGATAGCGACCTGTACTCTCTTGGGGGCTACAACCCCAAGTACTGGGATGTGGAAAATACAGAAGACACTTACTTCCCACTGTTCAAGGAGGCAAGTTCTCAACTGAAAGCCAACAATTATCACATTTATTATCTTTATTTCCCCAGTATATTCTTTTGTGTTCCGTCTTTCACCTTACAACTAGCCTGAATTTAAGTCAAGTGAGCTTATGTTGTGGTAGGTATTGTGTTAAGTTTGACTTTTGAACTGATTTCTGTTTTCCTGCATTTTGAAACGACAAGGCCTTGGTATGAAATGTTGTATGAAGATACCAGCTATTGTGTCTCTAAACAGTGCTTAGATAATTCCCCTCTGACTTTGAACACAACTACCACAGTATTGATATTAAGGTTTTGGTTTACCATGCATACTGTGTTTTATGATTTTAATCATATGAATGTTACCATTAGGCGTGGAACAAGTCCATTGTTACTTCCTGCTTTAGGTCTCAAACGATGGGTACAAAATGTGAGATTGGGAATTGTTTTACCGAAACCTTGGCAAAAAGTTTCTTGTACATGTATACTGTAAATCACGATATTTTTGTGAGCATGATATTTTTGCGTAAATTGCGAATGACTTCAATTTGCAAAAATATCAATTTGCTGGTCAAATGCTAAAAACAATCAACAAATAACATGTCTCATTATCTCTTTATTATTCACCAGTTCATATAATCATCAAAGGAAAACATCACTGACTTCATACACACGGAAGTACTCTACTGAGCTCATTCAAGATTAGCGGCAACCTTTAATATGTGATTGGATTTACTTTAGGTAGAACTTTCAGTTGCAATTTATTTAGAATAATAATAAGTCGCAAAAATATCAGGACGCAAAAACGTGCATGCATGATCAGATCATATACTGTAAATCACAACAAATTTGTGATTTACAGTATATGATCTGATCATGCATGCTTTGTAGCTGACTGAAGTTTTAGCTTTACTCAAACATGTGAAAGTCAGAAGGAATGCAAGCTTAGTCAGAGAGAAATACATGTATGTACAAAAGCAACTTTTCGTGTAATCATGAAGTTGTAGTGTTATTGTCATTCACCAATGTATCACATGACCTACCACCAGTTTGGGTATTCTTGGAGTACCCAGGTCCTCAGTATCTACCCGATCTACCTAGTTACCCATCTCAGCCCCAGACTTTATGATGTAGTCAGACTGAATACACCAGCCAGCACTCAGGATATTTCACTATGGTTCCAAATACTAATATGTACACATGCAGTCCTCATTCATATTTCCTTTGTCCATTTGAACATGTGGAATAACAATGAGATTATGGATATGTTAATCAGATTGTAAAATTTATCATGTTTATGTTGTTAAATGTTCTAAAGTCTAATCATCATGTTGTATTATGTAATGTGTAAAGTGAATCATATCCTAATTTATCCCTCCTTGTCTAGTTGTGGCAGTTCAATTTTGTGTCCCGGAAGTGGAAGAAGCTGAACACAACAGGTCACATGCCCCTTGAGCTGGCCTCACATGCAGGTGGGTAGACACTTTCCTGGGTCTTGTTGCCATGGAGATTGGTATCATCAGGCTGATGGATATTTCAAGATCTCTTTCCTGGGTTTGTTCTAATCATATTTTATTGTCTGAAAAGACAAAGTGATTGGGCACAAGTGCATTGCATATTGTCACTTTCTCTCCTCTCCTGGGTCTAGTTGCCATGGAGCCTGGCCAATGGATATTAATTTATTTAAGTTCATAAATTTTAAGTATTTTCGGTGTTCTGTTGTACCTACATGCAGTGAGTGAAATATTTTCAACATTTTAAAAGCGAAGGGGTGCTAGCTGGTCTTGAATGTAACTAGCCAACATAAAGTTTCACAAGCTGAAGACTGAGGTTGACTGTGATGTACATAGCAAGGAACAAATCACCATTAAATATTCACCTGCCAGTCAGGCTGGAGACATTTCACATTCTCCAGGGCGGTGGGGTAGCCTAGTGGTTAAAGCGTTCGCTCGTCACGCTGAAGACCTAGGTTCGATTCCCCACATGGGCACAATGTGTGAAGCCCATTTCTGGTGTCCCATGATATTGCTGGAATATTAAAAGCGGTGTAAAACTCAAGTCACTCACTCACATTCTCCAACCTGACAAAAAGTTTACTAGTCATGGATCAGCGGGGCCAGCGGCTATTTTGCACACTAGCGGCAGTTGAGTTTGGTATCGTTACTGGCCAAATACATGTACAACAACACAGTTTTCCAACTTGTCTCAACTTTACTGAACAGTGCTCATCCTCACATGCAAGTTAAACTGACATTTCTATAGTTACATGTACATCTAATCAACATCAGTGACATCATAATCATAAAGAGAAAATAAATTAACCTTTATCCCTAGAGACAGTTTACAGCATGTGAACAGAAAGACATTCAGATACCAATGGCCTCTACAAAGGGAGGTAACTCAAAATAATCTGTATACCTTGCAAACCACTATACCCTGATTTCTTGTAACAGTGTCATGAAATCAGATACTGGTACCTCCGATTGTGAAATGTCAGCACTTTCAGCCCTGAGAGACACACCAATATTGATTGTATAAGTTTGATTTAATTGATTAAATTATTGTATTATGCTTCCAGCTGTCCGTGACAACAACAAACTGCTTGCCTACGGAGGTACCGGTGTGCCGTTCGGTGAGGCGAGTAGTAATGACCTCCATGTGTGTGGCCTCACAAGTCACAGCTGGCAGCACTTCAAGTGTACAGGACAACATCCAGAGAAGAAATATGGCCATGTGAGTATCTGTGGTCTGGGTGTATTACATAGTGGTGTGTCCAGATTCATGGATATGTATCGGAATCGTGATACGTGTTGAGACGATGTAGTAGATTGATAAACAATTTCATGTCATGTTTCATCAAGAAACAATTCCATTAAACAGTCACCATAATCCATTACATTGTCTATATATAAGTCCGCCGTGATGTTGCTGGAATATTGCTAAAAGCGGCGTAAAACCAAACTCAGTCAGTCAGTCAGTCTATATATGAGTGAGTGTGGTTTTACGCCACTTACAGCAATATTCCTTCTTTATCATGTGGGACGCAGAAATGTGATTCAAACATTGTATCCATGTGGGTAATCAAACCTAGGCTTTAGAGTGACAACCAAACATTATAACCACTAAGCTACTCCACCACCCATGTATAAGTTAATCCTGTTACTTGGAAAGGATTTATTGTGCATAGTAGCAATAATTTAAAATAAATGACAAAGAAATCTAAAAGTTGTAGCATAGGGGCCTGCTGAAATTAAAACTATCAACCTGTGAACAAATCTGTCGACCTTGGGCCATTGGGTCGATGTATATTTCAAACACTGGCCCCTCATGTTGATGAAAGTTACCTTGTTATTTGTAGGCGATGTTGCTGATAGGCAGATACCTGTATGTGTGTGGGGGCACCACAGGGTTTGTGTACAACATGGACGTCCATAGACTCAGTCTCGACACCCTGGTGTGGGAGAAGCTGTCCTCGGACGAGGAGAGTCCATCTGACCCAGAGGGCAGGTAGGTACTGAAGTAGGAGAGTCCATCTGATCCAGTCAACAGATAGACTCATGCTATCTGATCCAGACAGCAAATACTCTCAGGTACAGGAGAGTCCTTCCTATCTAGATGACAGGTAGGCTCAGGTACAGAGAATCCACCCTTTTCAGACAACAAGTAGGCTGAAGTACACTAGAGTCCAATCATTCCAATGACAGATACACTCAGGAATAGGAGAGTCATTTTGATCTAGACAACAGGTAGGATCACACATATAAGAGTCCAGCTGATCCGTCCTCTACGGATGATGATAGTCACACTATATGTCAGTAATCTAATGTGGGGCGGACCTATATGTCAGTAATCTAATGTGAAGCGGACCTATATGTCAGTAATCTAATGTGGAGCGGACTTTCAGAAGACGTCACTTTTATCCTTCATTATTAATGTTGTTGAATTGGGACTCCAAGCCTTTACCTGCACTCCACCATCGATGTGACCAGACTCACATCAACACATGTTAAACACTCACCATAATCACATTTTCACTTTGGACAAACTGTTTTATTACTTTTCTTAAAATGAAATTTCACAAGAAAGTCATAAATTAATAGGTTTTGTTTCCACCTGGCTGTTTACTAATTTAAAAGTAATGGGAGTTAAAATTTATTGTCATGTCGGCAATATATTGTCAAAGTGAGATAATATAAGAATCCTATTAATTAAAAAAACCCACAAACATTCCTTATCTGTTTACATGTATTTCAACCATCCAGTTTTATTCGATCTTACAGTTCTATTTAAAATCTTTTAATCAAATGTGCTATGAATAGAGACTGAATTTTGAAAAACAGAGTGGTCATTATTTTGATCATGTGAAGAATTAGATCTTATCAAAGAATTAGAAAAGTTCAACACATAATAAGACTTTTGTCACATCATTCTTGGTTACCTGTATATAGACAAGAAGGGTGAGTTTGGGTGAAATGTTTTTCTGTTATTGGAGAACTGTTTCCACTACATTTTAGGAGAATGAAGAAATAAGCTGTTAGTATGAATTGGGATAAGTATGAATAATTTCACTTTGAAAATATATTAAGATGTAGTAATTCCTGTATTGTGACAGATATCGACATGAGATGGCATGCTACCAACATCGACTGTATATATTCGGGGGAGGCACTGCTGGGGAGGCCTACAGGTTTGAGCTGGTATGTACAACACACTCACATGCTTCTGCTAAATGTTGTTATGTGTTGATTCCCAAGTGGAAGCAAGAAGTTCACCAGAAATCAGTCCGTAAATGAAATGTTTTAAACCATACCTACCCTACTTGATGAAGTTTGACCGTCTATCAGGTTTAAACCCTACCCTGGTTGAAGAAGTTTGACTGTGTCTTGGTTAAAGCTGACCCTGGTTGAGGAGTCTCCTGATCTAAAGCTGACCCTGGTTGAGGAGTCTCCATGGTCTAAAGCTGACCCTGGTTGAGGAGTCTCAAGGTCTAAAACTGACCCTGGTTGAGCTGACCCCTGGTTAAGGAGTCTGATGGTCTAAAGCTGACACTGGTTGAGGAGTCTTATGGTCTAAAGCTGACCCTGGTTGAGGAGTCTCATGGTCTAAAGCTGACCCTGGTTGAGGAGTCTCTTGAGGAGTCTCAGGGTCTAAAGCTGACCCTGGTCTAAAGCTGACCCTGGTTGAGGAGTCTCATGGTCTAAAGCTGACCCTGGTTGAGGAGTCTCATGGTCTAAAGTGAAGATCCAAAAGCTGGGTTGAGGAGTCTCCTAAAGCTGACCCTGGTTGAGGAGCTGACTAAAGCTGACCCCTGGTTGAGGAGTCTCATGGTCTAAAAGCTGACCCTGGTTGAGGAGTCTCATGGTCTAAAGCTGACCCTGGTTGAGGAGTCTCAAAGCTGGTCTAAAAAGCTGACCCTGGTTGAGGAGTCTCATGGTCTAAAGCTGACCCTGGTTGAGGAGTCTCATGGTCTAAAGCTGACCCTGGTTGAGGAGTCTCATGGTCTAAAGCTGACCCTGGTTGAGGAGTCTCATGGTCTAAAGCTGACCCTGGTTGAAAGGTCTAAAGCTGACCCTGGTTGAGGAGTCTCATGGTCTAAAGCTGACTCTGGTTGAGGAGTCTCCTGGTTTGAGGAGTCTCATGGTCTAAAGCTGACCCTGGTTAGTCTCATGGTCTAGTGCTGACCCTGGTTGAGGAGTCTCAAGGTCTAAAGCTGACCCTGGTTGAGGAGTCTCATGGTCTAAAGCTGACCCTGGTTGAGGAGTCTCATGGTCTAAAGCTGACCCTGGTTGAGGAGTCTCATGGTCTAAAGCTGACCCTGGTTGAGGAGTCTCATGGTCTAAAGCTGACCCTGGTTGAGGAGTCTCAAGGTCTAAAGCTGACCCTGGTTGAGGAGTCTCATGGTCTAAAGTCTGGTTGAGGAGTCTCATGGTCTAAAGCTGACCCTGGTTGAGGAGTCTCATGGTCTAAAGCTGACCCTGGTTGAGGAGTCTAAAGCTGACCATGGTCTAAAGCTGACCCTGGTTGAGGAGTCTCTCATGGTCTAAAAGCTGACCCCTGGTTGAGGGTCTCAAGTCTAAAAAGCTGACCCTGGTTGAGGAGTCTCATGGTCTAAAGCTGACCCTGGTTGAGGAGGTTCTCATGGTCTAAAGTCTGACCCCTGGTTGAGGAGTCTCATGGTCTAAAGCTGACCCTGGTTGAGGAGAGGTCTAGTCTGACCCTGGCTGAAAGGACTCTGGTTGAGGACTCCAAAAGCTGAAGGTCTAAAGCTGACCCTGGTTGAGGAGTCTCATGGTCTAAAGCTGACCCTGGTTGAGGAGTCTCATGGTCTAAAGCTGACCCTGGTTGAGGTCTAAAGCTCTCATGGTCTAAAAAGCTGACCCTGGTTGAGGAGTCTCATGGTCTAAAGCTGACCCTGGTTGAGGAGTCTCATGGTCTAAAAAGCTGCCCTGACCCCTGGTTGAGGAGTCTCATGGTCTAAAGCTGACCCTGGTTGAGGAGTCTGATGGTCTAAAGCTGACCCTGGTTGAGGAGTCTGTGGTCTAAAGCTGACCCTGGTTGAGGAGTCTCAAGGTCTAAAGCTGACCCTGGTTGAGGAGTCTCATGGTCTAAAGCTGACCCTGGTTAGGAGTCTGGTCTAGCTGACCCTGGTTGAAAGCTAAAGCTGACCCTGGTTGATGAAGTGTGACTGTCGCATGGTTTAAAGTCGACTCTGATGCAGCAATATTGACTGTCTCACTGGTTTAAAGTCTATTTAACAAAAACCCAGGGCCTAGATTTTTGGAAGTTGACTCTTAGCTCAAGTAAGATAGTCGTAAGTGCCATACATTAACATTAACTTCACTTACTATCTTAGCTAAGACATAGATAGTCGTAAGTGCCATACATTAACATTAACTTACGACTATCTTAGCGATAAGAGAGCTTCAAAAATCTAGGCCCTCCTTCATAACTAGGAGTGTAGTTAAAACTTTGAGATTTGAGAAGCTGCCCACTAAGTTGTTTTGCTTTGTTTCAGATTCCGACATTCTGTCTTACAGAGCGGGTGTGGGAGAATATCCCAGCTGTACCTGATAAACGGTTTGGTAGGTGCCTGGTCCAAGAGCATGATGGACAATCACATATTAACAGCACTGCAGTTATTGTAGAATTAAATTATTTGATAATGAATGTAAAATTGTGAAGCATAAATTCACCCTAGCATGCAGGAATATTTCACCATCCCTTGTAACATAAAATGTGGTTCAGCAAAATCTTAAAACATGTAAACAAAAATAACAAAACATTTCAGTGAAAGTCTATATCATACTTTTGGATCTCAATAAATACAAAATCAACTTCTTCAAGAAATATATTTGAAATCTTAGAGACCGTTATTGGAAGCAAATAAATACATGCTGCCTGCAGCTGGTCAAGTTACTAATGTCACTTTATGGTACCAAGAGCTTGAATATTGAGTTGATGGAGATATTTACAGTTTACTAAAGTACTAGTCCCAGTATTAACAAAACATCAATGACCATTTTTCATTATTTTGCTGACTCGGTAAGCAAGTAAGAAATAGAAAGTCAAGTAGTCACGCAGAAGTCAGTTCTGATTAAGGGGAGATAATTTGCAGGGAGATAATTTTCTGATATGATAATCATGTCAACTTGTTGTGTTTACTGCAGTTAATATCGTGCAATGTATGAGCAATGCGATGTATCATTAAGATTCATTATTCTGGAGACCATTAAAAACCCAGTCTTACACACTGAAGTGTACAATAAGATCTGATGTGTCATTTTATAACATACACACTTGACAAGAGAACCAGCTGTGTAAAGTGTGTGTGTGTGTGTGTGGGTTTTTTTTGTTGTTGTTGTGTCACCCATTTAGTTTTAGGGAGATAGGGGGGTCTTCAATTTTGTTCACATGTCCTTTTTTAGGGGGTGGGGTGGTAGTCAGCAATTTTGTACATTATAAATACATGTATTTAGAAAAATTGCTTATATAATTATGAGAAGGGGGGAATCATTGACTTTGTACATGACATGCAGAGGGATCACTTACTTTATACATAAAGTTTAGGTAGGGGAGGGAGGGGGTCACTCACATTGTACATGCTTCTCCCTGTGTATGAAATAAGGCCCGTCCGACTGCCCGAGACTGGCTAGATTTCTGATGGAGGGTCTAAATTCACAGCTAGCTGGACCGATGGTCTGGTAAAATGTTTGATAACATGTTCCATACATCTAAGTAATTTCTGTATCTTTAAATCTATTTTTCAAATTGAGCTTTGCATTTAGACTTGACAATTACTGTTTGAACATTGAACAATCATATCGCAAGCTCAAAGCACTCTCTAAAACAGTATCTAAACAATAACTAAAAATTGAGTTATTTTGTTTGGATTGTCATGTCTGGTTAAATCCATTTTGGGCTGGTAACATTTTGAAGTTACCAGCCCTGATGCCTGGCTGGGTTTTTGGCTTATTTCATACACTGCTTCTCCATAAAAATCATCATCACCCCACTAGCCATAAATTACGAACTGTCCCTAAACACCCACTGAAGATTGATTCACTATGTTGCTACTTGTCAGTAGAGCTTACTCTTTCATCTGTGCTTGATATGAAAAATAATCTCCTTTAGATATTATTACCATAGAAATCTATCATTAAAGCTAGCTACTTGAAACTAATGTCAGCCAATTATTAATGTCTCATAAAACTGACACAATTCCTATGAACCAACTCAAATATGCTCTCGTATCCCAGGATTCCCTGCTCCACGCAGATGCCACAGCTGCTGCCAGCTGAAAAATGGTGAGAAAACACTTACTTCTTCCTGCAGGTCTGTTAATGGCTGTTTCTAGCCACATTCTGAGGTGTAACCAGCTGTCTCAGGTGACTGGAATGGTTTTTAAAGTGTCACCTCCTGTCATGATATCTTTAGGAAGTGAATCGAAGCTCGAGCTATCAACCCCCATTTGCTCTGATCCCATATCATTGTTATTATAGGATATTTATATAGCGCACATATCCAGGCGACTAGTGATGCTCAAGGCGCAGCTATTTTTTCCCTCGATCATTGGATGTCAGTCTCAACTGGACATTGTATTATCAAACTCAACTCCCTGGGGAGTATACAACTCTTGCAGCCACTAGGCGCACCGAGTTATTGTGGCTTTCTCATCCTAACGAGGTACCTATTCACAGCTGGATGGACTGGGACACGTAGTCACAGTACTTTGTCCAAGTTCACTGCACATTGCTGTACCTGTAACTAGGTATTTGCACGTATTCATGTGGCCACCATCTGGTCATATACCAACAGATTCGTGGGTTCTTTTATGTGCACAGGGTTGTGTACTGTACACTAGGGGTTGTGACAACACTGAAAGAGTCTGCACACAAAGTTGACTCCAAGGTTTTTACACCTGGTCACAGGTATCACCCAGAGATGTTACATGCTAGACTGAAGCCCCAGTCTAGTAATATTTCATTTTGTCCAGAAAGATTAGAAATATTTAACAAATGTTAGTTCTTAATCTAACAGTTGAGAATGGAATGTTAGAATCAGTGCCTAGTGCTCTGCAATAAGATATGACTAAATTTGTACTGACCTTAAATGGATTGATATTTGTCATTTCAAACTTCCATCTTAAGTCTGAATTGTATCTTTTGAATGCTGTTTCGATGTCAAACATGTATGTACTGATTTCTATGTCTTCAGTTATATCTTTCTTTCTTTTTCAAACCTGTGAAGATCCGGGTTAAAATTCACTTGTTTTAAAATGCTCATAATTTCAGGCACTGGTAAGCTGCCTAAACTCAATGACTTTAGCTGGAATATTGTTACTATGGGATAAATCAGCAAAAATCAATGCATGAAAATCTGAAGTTATTTAAGATAACAAGTTCAGTGTACAATTTTAGGTATATCACAAACCGTGGTAAAGTTGTATAATAGATTAACATAACAACACATGGTGATGCTGGGTTGGAATTGGCCCTCATCAATGTCCACTTAATGGATCTATATGATCAAGTTTGATGATTTGTGTCCCCGCTTGTCTTTGGTGTTGATTGTTCTGAATATCAGCCCCTGGTTTGTCTTGGCCAGATTAGACCCGTGAAGATCCGGGTTAGAATTGGTCTTCAGCAAACTGTGCTTGTCGTAAGAGGCGAGTAACAGAAGCAGGTGATCAGGCTCGCTGACTTGGTTGGCACATGTCATCGTATCCCATTTGCATAGATCGATGCTCATGCTGTCGATCACTGGATTGTCTGGTCCGGACTCAAATATTTACAGACTGCCGTCATTTAGCTAGAAAAATTGCAGAGTCCTGCGTTAAACAACAAGCTAAAAAAAAAAATCTTGCCCAGATTTGATTATTTACAGGTTGTTGTCATGTAACTAGTATAGTGCTGAACAGGACACAGTAATATTTCCCTTTTCCGCCTCCCTCTAGACGTGTACATGTGTGGAGGGATGGATGGGGTGAAGATCCTGCCGGACCTGTGGCGGTTCTCTCTGGACACCCACACCTGGACCAAGATGTCCCCCGACATGGTGCTGCCCACCTACTTCCACGCTGCAGACATCGCTCCGGTTAGTGTCACAGACTCACATGGGGTGTAGTGGATAGAGTATTAACCTGGAGGACAAAAGTCAGAGGTTTGAATCCTGGCTGCATCATATGAAAAGATTTAGAATGTGGTACATGTTGTTTCCCTGCCTGGTGCTCGACCTTATGGGATAATACAAAGATTGGTTTGCACCGAGACAGTATACATTGTCTGAGTCAGTATGCATGTTAAACAGTGGCATGGTGTCCCATTTGGCTAGCATTATCAAAATGTCGTTTGTCCGAAGTAGAACAAACACACATACATATAGCTGTCTAAGTAAAATACTGTAAACGATATATTTCAGAGGTTTTATTTTTCGCTACAAAAAACATTTTAGCCGAAAATTTATACACCGCTTAATAAACCTGTCATTCATTCAGTCTAGCCACACGCCTCTGAGTTGTTACCATAACACATCACGCTTGAAGACAGAAATCTACGGAATCTTAAATGATCGACCGATCATACTTTAACTGTCGCTGTAATGGATTTCCCAAAACATAATTAAATAATCGAGCCAAATCCCATTGCCTAATTAGCTTAAAAAAGCAGCAATGAGTGTTGTGGCCCATGGAAATTGGTCACATGACAGATGGTTTGATACAAAACAGATTACCGTGAAAAACGACTCGAAAGAAATAATACAGCAGTATTTTATTTATTCATTAAGATTTTATTCACCAGTACATCATGAAGCAATAGTCACTAACACTCAATCATCTCATTCACAACAACCCGCTTGTTTGAAATCACAAAGAGCTTCATATACAGTATAAGTTAATTGCCAAAATCGCCAGAATTCGAACATAAGACTGATGTGTTTTTCATCTCTTCCGGATTAAACGGATTACTGTGTACTAGTATATCGCACAGATAGGGATTTCCTGTGAGTAAGCAATAAACGCCGCCTGACAGGTTAAGCCACTCTGTTTGTTTTCACTGCTATTAGTGGCGGCCAAAGAGACAGCTGGCAGTTCTGGCAATTACTGATTGCGCGAATAATTGACCGCGCAATGTAGTCTAAACTGTCAATTCCGCGAAAATTGCACCACGCGAAAATAAGTACGTTTACAGTAATCTGAAAGAATCTGAAATTATTAAGAAAGCTATGTTTTTTTACATCACACTCCACATGCAGCAGAGAAGTTCTTTTCCAACCCGTGAAGGTCCGGGTTAGAATTGGTCTTCAGCAACCCATGCTTGTTGTAAGAGGCAACCAGCAGAATCGGATGGTCAGACTCGCTGACTTGGTTGACACATGTCACAATTTCGTAGATCAATGCTCATAGTGGTGATCACTGGATTGTCTGGTCCAGACTCGATTATTTACAGACTGCCGCCATATAGCTGGAATATTGCTAAGTGCAGTGTTAAACACAAGACAAAAAAAGAAGTTCATTTCCACTGAACATGAGACTATAGAGAATTGAGACTGAGAGCATACTGAATTCATGCTGTTTGTATTTATCAATATGTGGGGTTATATCAACACATGCACTGTAACTTCCAACCCACCAACTGCACTTGGTCTCCTTTGTTCTGAATCAAGAGAATTAAATGTGTAAGTAGTAAAAAAATGTTTTAATGCGTTTTCCTTGTTTCCGTGTTTCAGAATGGGTGCATGTACATATTCGGTGGCGTCACAGCAATTGACAATGTGAGAACCAGTGAAATCTACCGAATATGGTTGAAGGTCCCCTCACTACAAGAAATCGCCTGGAATAGTTTGATTAGCGCTCTGCCAAGCACGGACAATATTGATAAAGTAATTCTCGCGGAGCTTGGCGTTCCGGCTGATTTCCTGGACCGGGTTTCATGACTGTAGGGGTTGTCTCCCTTCAAAGCAGTTATCACTGATCAAAATGTGCATGTCTGACATGTGTGATGCCATTGCTTGAATTTATTGCAATGAAGCTGACATTTATATAATATTTAGTTTGTGATTCTTAAAATGGTTTCTTTGAGAGGCATTTAGCAGTTGGAATACTAAGAAGGACATGATATATGGAAGACGACATTATTATAATAGGAGCGTTTTGGTGTAGGTTCCAACACCTTATCAAGTGATGTACAGTGTATGGATTGAGAGGCATATAAACAAATATGATAGTAAGCTATAACTCAACTCCAGCTTTCCATCAACTCATCAGAGATTCCGTGTGTCCTCCACTGTGATTGTGCTGGAATATTACTAAAAAAGCGTAAAACCATGCTCTCACTCACTCACTCACTCACTCACTCTCTCACTTGTTTATACTACAGGCTTCTCCTCTTGGCATTTTAACTCTAACCTTACCCATTGCAGATATGCCAACCTCTACAATTTTATCGTAGTCGCTACAAATTGTAGCCTTAAACTCTGCCAATATGATTGCACTAGAAATTCTATGAAATTTGAAGAAAATTCATTCAAATTTGGACATATAGACAAAAACATATATTTTCATCGATTAAATACATTTTTGGACTTCACTTACCTTCCATTCATCAAATGTAGTGACGTATTTCACCTGGAATCATTACAAGTAACAAACATAATTTTAGCGAAATTGTCATGTAGTTGACTACTAATTTTATGGTCAGACTACTAATTTTGATCTTGAAACTACTATTTGCTTTGGGGTTGGCATCTCTGCCATTGTGTAGTTAACGATCTTCTCCACTCAACTGAAACCCTAATCCAGGCAACTGTAAAAGCAGGACCTCCACCAAAATGTTGCTAATTTTGTAATAAAGAAGTTGTTCATCCATATATATTATTGTTTCTTCAAGAAATGTTATAACTCGATGTGACTGTAAGCAGGGTCTGAGTCCAAAGCTTATGTGATATATTAGTGAAGTCTTTCATCAATCATCCGATCATAATCCGCCATTCCAGTCAGCTAACCGTGCACTGGTTGTGTTGGACTAATGTTAATATTTGATGTTTGTATGTTAAAAATGTCTTTTCAGTATAATTTGATACAATCTGTTAGAATTCAGACACACAGACAATCTCTCCCTAGTGTCTTTGGATATCAACCATGTCAACAATTTTGTTAACAGTTTGAAAGCCATGGAGCTTTAAACTTTTATCAATGCGTGTTGATACTAGTATTTGACATCAGAGGGAGATTCTTGATTCTTTTTGTCATCCAGATATTTCTATTTTATCTGTTTGTAGCCGTAATAAACGGTGTTTTGTGTGTCTACAACTAACCATTTCTGATAAGTAACGTCATGTAGATCTGACATCATGGTAAACGATGATGTAATAATGATCTGCAAGGCATTGTAATCCAATTTCGTTTCAGCAGTACATGTATCTACCAGGGGAGATCACTTAATCTCTTGCAATATCTGCCTCGGAAGCAAGTTTTGGATGATTAAAACCGGTCTGTCTACTTATACAAGGCTAACAAATATGATTAAAATCAAATCTTTTTCCAATACAGGGTTTGATGAATTCACCACAGAAAAAATGTCTTGTTTGATAATTGTATCTGGAATCTGTCATGATATATTATGTATTTGAGATGGTTTTTGTTCATCAATTGATGTTTTAGATACCTTACCTGTCAATAGCAGAGGATGTTACACCCAATCAGAACAAAAGTGCTGGAAATCCATAAAACATGCAAAATATCAGTTGAATCTTGTAATGTATATTCAACATGGTGTCTCAGACAGATGTACCATATGTCATCATGGTAATATTTTCCTAACAACTAGTAACACCGAGTAACACACTCTGTTGGTGTCTTTCATTGTATAAAGATATTGAAAAGTTTTATTTGCTTCCAAAATACTTTTGAGAAAGTATTGCAACCATTTTGACTGGTTGAAGTCGTAAGAAGAGAAACAGGATATATTTCACTGACTGTTGAAAGCTGTTTGACTCACATGGCATCAAGATGTCAATCAATGGATTGACGTCATATTGCTGGAATATTACTGAATGTGGTGTTAAACAACAAACTAACATGTATTTTTTAGAGTGAAAATATTTTTTACTCATACTATTTACTTCTCTCTTCCTGAAAATGGGATATAGAAGAAACATCTGTGTTATGCTTCCCAATATATATACCAGTAGTGGCTTCATGTAGAAGTCTTGACCATTGAGAATTAGAAATTTATTTAATTCTTTAACAATATTTAGCATGGCTATGTTAATAGCTTGAGACATAGCCAAAACAAAGACCAAACTTCTGAAAGTGGTATCTAGTTGTGCTAGTTTTTCTTCAACTGTATAAGATTTAGACTTCAAATTGGTCATGAACAAATAGTTTTCATCAATCTCTGCTGCTTTAGATAATACCTCCATGTTGCGTTGCAGAAAACGTTGAAAGAGTGACATAGAATAAAAATTTAAAATATATCAGTTGTCATTGCCAATATGATACAGGGGAACTAGTGCAGAATTAACATGAGAATACTTTGATCCAAACTTCTGTTTGTTGGCCTGTGTAATTTGACTTAATATTGATCTTGTTACACATTAGCAGTCAGTTTAAATAATTGCTGTAATTAAGAAATTTACCAATGGCAGTGCTTAATAAAATCATAAGCAACAAGTGTACCGTATATTACCGTAGATCCCCTAACTTGACCCCTACAATCAGTGTCAAAATGGTATGTTTCGTACATGAGCCGACCCCCGTGATGGGGTCCTTATTGCGGTCAACTCAGACCACAGACAACTGACAGTTACCGTCTTGGATGTAAAACGTAATTCATGTGAATCATTTGACTTTGTCAGGGATGCTTATGAAGATTACTAAGATATTGAACATGGGGTTCACTAGACTGTGGCGCTTAATGCAACAGATACGGTAATAACCACATATTTTCATCAAAAGCATGCAGTCAGTGCTAGTAACTATGAGTCTTTTCTTTTATATATTTCTAATTTTAGATGCCATTTATTCCAGTTATTCTTAATTGCCTCATTTTGGGGTCTCTGTTTTACTGATTCCCCGTCAACCACACCTGACTTCACAGTCTTAAGACCTCACAATGTCCTTACACTGAATTGGGATTTGTAGGACAAAAATACTCATTTTTCAGTGACTAAGAATGTGGGATTTTGTTTATTGTATTGTCAGTTCAGAATTTTACACTGAGTCTTCAAGCCTGCTTGGTGTTCCACATCCATCCTCAGTGACGCATCACCAGCAGACTTTGAAAAGTATATTCATATTTGTTTTGTTAAGTCAGTACAGAAAATATGTTTGCCGACAATGATATCAGTGTCTGTCTGGCCGTGATATTGTTGGAATATTCTTAAAAGCATCATAAAAACCTCACTCACTCAACCTGTCAGTGTTGTGTTTCTCACTTGTTTGTCATGTGTCAAGTTTATGTAGTCAGAGTGGATTGGTGCTCACTATATTGATCACTGGATTGTCTGGTCCAGACTCAAGCTGCCATGATATTTGTGGGATATTGCTGTGTGCGGTGTTAAACAAAAACAAACAAATGGTTTGTTGCATGCAGAATGAACTTGAGGTTAAGTATCCTTGCTCCATTACTAAGGGCAATGTGGAATAATTTGTCAAGCTGAGATGTTTGTTGTCTCCTTGTTGGGATTCTGAGATTAAATAGATTCTTGGTGACCCATGTTTGTCTCCTTGTGGGATTCTGAGATTAAATAGATTCTTGGTGACCCATGTTTGTCTCCTTGTGGGGATTCTGAGATTAAATAGATTCTTGGTGACCCATGTTTGTCTCCTTGTGGGGATTCTGAGATTAAATAGATTCTTGGTGACCCATGTTTGTCTCCTTGTGGGGATTCTGAGATTAAATAGATTCTTGGTGACCCATGTTTGTTTCCTTGTGGGATTCTGAGATTAAATAGATTCTTGGTGACCCATGTTTGTTTCCTTGTGGGGATTCTGAGATTAAATAGATTCTTGGTGACCCATGTTTGTCTCCTTGTGGGGATTCTGAGATTAAATAGATTCTTGGTGACCCATGTTTGTGTTTGTCCCTTGTGGGGATTCTGAGATTAAATAGATTCTTGGTGACCCATGTTTGTTTCCTTGTGGGATTCTGAGATTAAATATGTTCTCCTTGTGGGGATTCTGAGATTAAATGTTCTCTGGTGACCCATTTTGTTTCCTTGTGGGATTCTGAGATTAAATAGATTCTTGTGACCCATGTTTGTTTCCTTGTGGGATTCTGAGATTAAATAGATTCTTGGTGACCCATGTTTGTTTCCTTGTGGGGATTCTGAGATTAAATAGATTCTTGGTGACCCATGTTTGTCTCTCCTTGTGGGGATTCTGAGATTAAATAGATTCTTGGTGACCCATGTTTGTTTCCTTGTGGGAGATTAAATATTCTGAGATTAAATAGATTCTGAGAGATTAAATAGATTCTTGGTGACCCATGTTTGTTTCCTTGTTGGTGACCCATGTTCTGAGATTAAATAGATTCTTGGTGACCCATGTTTGTCTCCTTGTGGGGATTCTGAGATTAAATATATTCTTGGTGACCCATGTTTGTTTCCTTGTGGGGATTCTGAGATTAAATATATTCTTGGTGACCCATGTTTGTCTCCTTGTGGGGATTCTGAGATTAAATAGATTCTTGGTGACCCATGTTTGTTTCCTTGTGTAATTCTGAGATTCTGAGATTAAATAGATTCTCTGGTGACCCATGTTTGTCTCCCTTGTGGGGATTCTGAGATTAAATAGATTCTTGGTGACCCATGTTTGTCTCCTTGTGTGGGGATTCTGAGATTAAATAAATTATAATCTACACATACTTTCATTGACAACAGATGTTTTCCTTCGTTATCCAATGACAAAACTGCACACTGTAATACTGTAAATTGTATAAAATAGAAAATAACAATCCATGACTATGCAACCTAATTTTGAGACTGCTGTTATCAGAACCATTAACATATATGTTTAGGGACTTATAATGTAGAAAATAGGATTGACATGCACAATTAGTGCAACTCACTGTCAAACACTTAAGGCCCCAATATATCGCAATACGGGTACCTAAATCGCAATATATTGCAATACAATTGTTTGGCCAATACACAGCCCTAGTGACAACCGACCGCCTCCGTGGTGTAGTGGTTAGAGTGTCCGCCCGGAGAGCGGAAGGTCGCGGGTTCGATCCCCGACCGCGTCATACCAAAAGAAGTTAAAATATGGTACTTGTTGGTCCCTGCCTGGCACTCGGCATTAATGGGTACAACAAGGACTGGTTGGCTTGGAGTCAGTATAATGTGTCTGGGTGGGATATTCATGCTTCACTGCGGCATGGTCCCTGCCTGGCGCTCGGCATTAATGGGTACAACAGGGACTGGTCGGCTTGGAGTCAGTATAATGTGTCTGGGTGGGATATTCATGCTTCACTGCGGCATGGTATCTCAGTGGGCCAGCACTATAAAACCAGCTTCAGTCTGGGCTAGTACAAGCAGCCGCACATACACATACACATGCATGCACGTCGTCATATGAGCGAAATATTCTCAAGCACGACGTTAAACCCAATTCCACCACCACCACCACCTAGTGACAACCAAGGTTCTCAGTGGCACATGGTTCTAAGGCAAAATATATTCTTGGTTTCTGATGCCAATCTCCCTAAAGGACTCATGGGCACTGGGTTGTTGGTCAACAATGTAACAGTTTAGACAGGAGACGTTTCTAACAGAGTAGACAGGACTCCTTTAACAATGAAGACAGTGAGCTCTTGTAACAATGTAAACAGTTGATTCATAGTGTAAACAGGAGGTTCATGTAACAGTTTAGACAGGAGACGTTTCTAACAGAGTAGACAGGACTCCTTTAACAATGAAGACAGTGAGCTCTTGTAACAATGTAAACAGTTGATTCATAGTGTAAACAGGAGAGTCATGTAACAGTTTAGACAGGAGACGTTTCTAACAGAGTAGACAGGACTCCTTTAACAATGAAGACAGTGAGCTCTTGTAACAATGTAAACAGTTGATTCATAGTGTAAACAGGAGAGTCATGTAACAGTTTAGACAGGAGACGTTTCTAACAGATTAGACAGGACTCCTTTAACAACGAAGACAGTGAGCTCTTGTAACAATGTAAACAGTTGATTCATAGTGTAAACAGGAGAGTCATGTAACAGTTTAGACAGGAGACGTTTCTAACAGATTAGACAGGACTCCTTTAACAACGAAGACAGTGAGCTCTTGTAACAATGTAAACAGTTGATTCATAGTGTAAACAGGAGGTTCATGTAACAGTTTAGACAGGAGACGTTTCTAACAGAGTAGACAGGACTCCTTTAACAATGAAGACAGTGAGCTCTTGTAACAATGTAAACAGTTGATTCATAGTGTAAACAGGAGGTTCATGTAACAGTTTAGACAGGAGACGTTTCTAACAGAGTAGACAGGACTCCTTTAACAATGAAGACAGTGAGCTCTTGTAACAATGTAAACAGTTGATTCATAGTGTAAACAGGAGAGTCATGTAACAGTTTAGACAGGAGACGTTTCTAACAGAGTAGACAGGACTCCTTTAACAATGAAGACAGTGAGCTCTTGTAACAATGTAAACAGTTGATTCATAGTGTAAAACAGGAGGTTCATGAAACAGTTTAGACAGGGAGACGTTTCTAACAGAGTAGACAGGACTCCTTTAACAACGAAGACAGTGAGCTCTTGTAACAATGTAAACAGTTGATTCATAGTGTAAACAGGAGGTTCATGTAACAGTTTAGACAGGAGACGTTTCTAACAGAGGTAGACAGGACTCCTTTAACAACGAAGACAGTCAGCTCTTGTAACAATGTAAACAGTTGATTCATAGTGTAAACAGGAGGTTCATGTAACAGTTTAGACAGGAGACGTTTCTAACAGAGTAGACAGGACTCCTTTAACAACGAAGACAGTCAGCTCTTGTAACAATGTAAACAGTTGATTCATAGTGTAAACAGGAGGTTCATGTAACAGTTTAGACAGGAGACGTTTCTAACAGATTAGACAGGACTCCTTTAACAATGAAGACAGTGAACTCTTGTAACAATGTAAACAGTTGATTCATAGTGTAAACAGGAGGTTCATGTAACAGTTTAGACAGGAGACGTTTCTAACAGAGTAGACAGGACTCCTTTAACAATGAAGACAGTGAACTCTTGTAACAATGTAAACAGTTGATTCATAGTGTAAACAGGAGGTTCATGTAACAGTTTAGACAGGAGACGTTTCTAACAGAGTAGATATAGACAGGACTCCATTAACAATGAAGACAGTGAGCTCTTGTAACAATGTAAACAGTTGATTCATAGTGTAAACAGGAGGTTCATGAAACAGTTTAGACAGGAGACGTTTCTAACAGAGTAGACAGGACTCCTTTAACAACGAAGACAGTCAGCTCTTGTAACAATGTAAACAGTTGATTCATAGTGTAAACAGGAGGTTCATGTAACAGTTTAGACAGGAGACGTTTCTAACAGAGTAGACAGGACTCCTTTAACAACGAAGACAGTGAGCTCTTGTAACAATGTAAACAGTTGATTCATAGTGTAAACAGGAGGTTCATGTAACAGTTTAGACAGGAGACGTTTCTAACAGAGTAGACAGGACTCCTTTAACAATGAAGACAGTGAGCTCTTGTAACAATGTAAACAGTTGATTCATGGTGTAAACAGGAGAGTCATGTAACAGTTTAGACAGGAGACGTTTCTAACAGAGTAGACAGGACTCCTTTAACAATGAAGACAGCGAGCTCTTGTAACAATGTAAACAGTTGATTCATAGTGTAAACAGGAGAGTCATGTAACAGTTTAGACAGGAGACGTTTCTAACAGAGTAGACAGGACTCCTTTAACAACGAAGACAGTGAACTCTTGTAACAATGTAAACAGTTGATTCATAGTGTAAACAGGAGGTTCATGTAACAGTTTAGACAGGAGACGTTTCTAACAGAGTAGACAGGACTCCTTTAACAACGAAGACAGCGAGCTCTTGTAACAATGTAAACAGTTGATTCATAGTGTAAACAGGAGGTTCATGTAACAGTTTAGACAGGAGACGTTTCTAACAGAGTAGACAGGACTCCTTTAACAACGAAGACAGTGAGCTCTTGTAACAATGTAAACAGTTGATTCATAGTGTAAACAGGAGGTTCATGTAACAGTTTAGGCAGGAGACGTTTCTAACAGAGTAGACAGGACTCCTTTGACAATGAAGACAGCGAGCTCTTGTAACAATGTAAACAGTTGATTCATAGTGTAAACAGGAGAGTCATTTAACAGTTTAGACAGAAGATGTTTCTAACAGAGTAGACAGG